TCAGATAATAGTACGTAAAACTTCTATAAACTTGTCCTTAAGTGAATACAATACCATACAATTGCAATGTCCATGCTCTATTTACCACTAGGTACAGTTATAGCCAAGACAAAAAGGGAGATTAATACAAATTTTTTTACATTGTACATATCTATATAGAAAGGTTCACCTGACCTAATTTTGATGGTTCATTGGTTAATTTCAATTTGCGCGATTAGGTCCGTTTCTCAGATACTATAAGTAATAGGTCGACTAAAGTGGATGTATGAAATGATTGTAAGGTGTATATGTCCGTCAGACATGGTTCATCTGCCCTTGGCCTCCTATTTATGGTTCATTTATAAGAGGTTATTAAGTTTTCGCAATAAGGTCCGATTTGGAGATACTGTAAGCGGTCGGTCAACTATATCAGGCTAATAGAATTGTAAGGTGTACATGTTTGTCTTGAGGGTTCATATGACCTTGATATAATTTTCATGTTTCACTAGTCAACATTAAGTGCTTGGGGTTTCGTCGGTTTCGCTGATACTATAAAAAGCAAGTCAATTACTTTTAGTGAATGGAATGTTTGTAAGATAAGCATGTATATGGCTTGGTTGATGTGACCTTGTTCTTATTTTTATTGATATTGATAAGTTTTTATCAAATCTCTAGTAAAACCTTGATCCAAAACACTTTAAACATAAAACTAAATCATGAGGAGAGACATCTCAAGCTTGTGCAATCTTGCTTGGTTTTGTGCTGAAATTAATATTTGTTTCTTCTTAAATACAGAGATTTCAATCAAAACAATAATGTTATAAATAAACTCTTGTTGAATTAGATAAAAAAAAAACTAAAACAAAAATGGCTATTCGTTATTGAAGTTTTCAATGTAGCGACAAATCAGCCAGCTTGGATATTAATTTGTTAACAAGAATGTTGCATTTAGATGAATTTTCAGTATCTGAACGGGAAAGTCTTTATTGTCTTTGAAATGCTTTGTGAAATTGTTTCTCTCGACTTATGAGTTTTGATTGTCGACTTGGTATCTTTAGCTTCTGTCTCTCTTTCAATGGTCATTGAACATACGTCAATGGGGCTTCAAAATATAAACACTAAATCAACTACTTCAGAACTGTAAATGACAATTTCTTTATATGGAAATAATAGATAGATTACACCATACTTTAAGTTGGACAAATAATTAACAAGAATACGTATTGGGGGAAAAGGGGGGGGGGGGAGGGGGGGGCAAATGCTCACCATGGGTGTGCCAACCATTTCTATACATTTAGAAATATATACTGTACATTAATTTTAGACTTGTACTTATGTGATATTTGTACTGTTGTTGTGTTAATGAACTGTATGACTATTTACACAGATTTATTTATGTGTGCCTTAGCTGATTAAAGTAAACCTAAAGTGAAAATGACCTTGATAAATATACATGATATATAATATAAATGTGTAGAGTGTGCTTAAATATAAAGATATTCCTTGATGATGAAGTTTGTCGGTTGGATAAGTGTGTTCCATTGTTTGATGTTTTGCTCCGTCGTTTATACTCAGAACACGTACAGAGCTGGAGTTTACGCCCATCGTGTTATCCAGCCAAATGGAACACATACAAGTGTTAGCAGACAGAAGGCGTTAGATAATATGATGAAAAATATAGATATTTATAATAATGTGGCGTCAGTAGCAAGGAATCAAGTAGGTTGCTTTAAATTAGAATTATTACATTCTCAAAATCTGGATCAACACAATACACATGTTTGATTGCTAGTAGACGGAAACTACTTCATTTGGATAGCAAAGAAAAATTGCCTTTATCAAATGATTGCACTCTTACGTATACAATATGGGAATATAAAGTGTGGTCAAGATACTGCTACCAAATGACATCGATAAACATCAGCATAATTTCTTTAACAATCCATAAGTGCATTAACAATATGCACAAAGAAGTTTAAACAACGTTAACGACAAACACTTTTTGAATGATAGTGACGTTTCCAGATTGTTGATTGTGCATTAGTTTTTTTTCCCTGGGCACTCTCTGAAAATAAGTTTGGAAGAGAATCATATATCAACCAGTAGTTTAATTAAAGTTTACTTAATATATACCGATTGAGCAAAGTTGGCCTATGTATCGAATGTACCTCTTTTAAGGGTTCTTTGTCCGGATTTGGTTTTACTTTTTGTACTCTTTTTGTTTTATCAGCTATTCAAAATTTGAATTTAGTTTTGAACTTTCAAATATTTTGGCCATGAGCATCAATGCAGAAACACTATTTGTCGAAATGCGCATCTGGTGCAGTAAAATTGGTAGCGTTAATGTTATTGTAACCATCATTATTTACTTGAATGTCTGTTTTTTTGCAGGGCGTTCAAATACTTGTTTTTCCTGATGATGGGCTATACGGGAATGATTTCACAAGGCAAGGAATTGAACCGTATCTAGAATATATCCCCGATCCTACAAAAGAGACATGGAATCCATGTATTAATCCCGAAAAATATAACAATAACAGTGACATTTTATGGAACTTGAGTTGTATTGCGCAGGCCAATAACATTTATATGGTTGTTAATATGGGAAATTTCCAAACATGTATTAAATCAAGTGATCCAAATTGTCCAACTGACGGTCACTATCAATTCAACACAGATGTTGTTTTTGACCGTAACGGGACATTGATAGCTAGATATCATAAAACGCATTTATACAATGAAGTTCAGTTTGATGCACCAGTAGAACCGGAACACATATATTTCGATACTCCATTCGGAAGATTCGGACTTTTTACTAGTTTAGATATAGTTTTTAAGACGCCAGCTATCAGTTTGATTGAAGTATACAATATAACAGATGTTGTTTACCCAGCAGCTTGGACTGATGTTCCACCTTTATTTTCTTCAATACAGTTTCACTCTGCGTTTGCCATGGGAATGGGGATAAATTTGCTTACGGCCAATCTCCAAATGCCAAATGATTCGATATACGGTTCTGGAATTTATACAGCAAACGGTTATAAAACTTTTTACAATGATATAAGTAACCAATCAAAACTTCTAGTTGCTGATTTGAATTCAAATTCTATGGAAGATGTTTATGACAGAAAGAAAAAAGAACTAAATCGTAAACGAAACGCAACATCAGATTTAAAACATGTATTGGTTGAAAAGATATCTACCAAAATTGATAAACATGATACTCCATCTATAACATCTGAAACTTTTATGGGGGAAATATTCAACGATACATACACTATGAAAATATTAGAAAACTCAGGTGACGTTGTAACTGTTTGTGATAATAGTTTGTGTTGCGAATTTTACTATCAGCTTATGGAAGGATCGGGAAAGGTCGTTGCGTTTGGCGCCTTTGATGGTCTTCATACGTATCTACATAAAATGTACTTACAAGTGTGCATTGTGTTAGAATGCGCCGGAAGCAGTCCACAGACTTGTGGGATACCAACAGAAGAATCGAATTTATACTTCCGAGAGTTCCGGCTTATGGGAAACTTTTCAACGAAATATGTTTTCCCGGAGGTTCTTGTTAGTGATTCCGGTAGAAAATCCCTGGCATCTGGTGACCTCTATGATTTTCATGATGGAGTATTAGAAGTTGTTAATGGTTTACGCTTACCTCTTATGTCAGCGTCCCTATTATCCCGAGATTATGCAAAAGATTAGGATTTTGTTTATCTGAACAGTTTGCCATGCATCTAGTGTTCTTAACATCGAGTTTTTAAGTTTTTCTTCGGTATGTTCTGCTAAATTTTATAATGTATATGACTGCTTTATATTCTTTATTATTCAGTTGTAATATCATACATGAAAAAAAAATATCGGTATTTAGTGCAGTGTATGTAAAGTTTGTCAAGATTGAATGAATAAGTCAAACTTTCCTCGTTTATTACGATTACTGAATGGGACTTGTCGCCGGAAATATTCAGGACATAAACACCACGACAGGTGCCACTGATGGATTGTGCATTGTTTGCCCTTCCAATACACCCGATATATATGTGTTTCATTTTAGTTTTTTTGTTCAATATAAAGTTTTCTGTTAAGTGTTTAGTGGGCTGGTATTTCTCTTTTAGTTGTTTTCTTTTGACCATTGTATTGTACTGGATGTTTCCAACTAACGGTTTATTTTTATTGTTATTTTGCGATTTTCTACCTTTTTATATACCAAATTCCTCCACCTTCTACCTATTTATAGCAGCTTTACCTTGGCCATTATCCTATTGACATAAATATCAATCAGAGGATATCTTACGTTTGATGAGAGAGTCAATACGCTACCAAGGTTGGGTAAACATATTAAAATGTATGGCATACACATTATCTGAAACTTTAACTTATTCCCTTAGCAGCCTCACGGTATAAGCTAAAACAGAAGAAAACGCCCAACTAGATACAAGTACCTACAAGGTCCAAAGCATGGTAAACCGGAGAAAATTAAAATGCTAATCGCTAACGGTGTTTTCAAAAGAACTTTACTTTTATTCGTCATGTGGAGTACCTCATGTTCAGTCGCCCATTACACTACAAACAGAAAAAGTCAAACTAGTTACGACTAATAGGTCCATGTTATCAAATATAGAGATTTTGTAACCAAAATTAAACGGTTGACAATATTCCAGTTACTCAGTTATAACAAATAAATCGGTTGAAATTATTTTGTGAGTAGAACTGAGATTTGCTACTTTGTAATTCTAAGAGTTTACCTCTGTTTCATCTCTAGTATAGGGTCGACACGTATGTTTTTCATTGTTTCTTAATAAGCTTGTCATCAGCATTATTATCGGAGGACTGTATATTTATTTCTAATAACAATCGCACGAAACCGTTAGGCGATAGTCAAGAAAGCCGAATGCCCGTTAAAGTCATTAATTGATAAAGAATAATTTTGAAAATTCAGTTAAATTTGTTATGCCTTTTCATGTTAAACTTACTACACAATCAAATAAAACACTAAAAGTAGAATAAAGTTTTTAATGTTAATCTATTGTTTCATAATCCTCTTTCTCGTATCCGGGATTCGTTATACTTTGTTTATCTGACTTTTTCTGACTTAAAGTGATGTCCATAGTGTCCTTCAATGCTGTTTTGTTTGTTTCAGGTAAAGTGACCACTAGTATGGCGGACAAAAACATCATTCCAGCAAACGATAAATATGATAGACCATCAATCTTCTCACTCTGAAATGCAATATAAATTCATTTATTTGTATGAAAGAAATTTGCCAACCCTGTCTATTGACACGGCCTTCAAAATCAATGAAAACGGCCTTCTAACTCAATGAACACGGCCTTCTAACTCAATGAACACGGCCTTCAAACTCAATGAACAAGGCCTTCTAACTCAATGAACACGGCCTTCAAACTCAATGAGCACGGCCTTCTAACTCAATGAACACGGCCTTCAAACTCAATGAACACGGCCTACAAACTCAATGAACACGGCCTTCTAACTCAATGAACACGGCCTTCAACTCAATGAACACGGCCTTCTAACTCAATGAACACAGCCTTCAAACTCAATGAACACGGCCTTCAATCTCAATGAACACGCCCTTCAAACTAAATGAACACGGCCTTCTAACTCAATGAACACGGCCTTCTAACTCAATGAACACAGCCTTCAAACTCAATGAACACGCCCTTCAAACTCAATGAACACGGCCTTCTAACTCAATGAACACGGCCTTCTAACTCAATGAACACGGCCGTCTAACTCAATGAACACGGCCTTCAATCTCAATGAACACGGCCTTCAAACTCAATGAACACGGCCTTCTCACTCAATGAACTCGGCCTTCAAACTCAATGAACACGGACTTCTAACTCAATGAACACGCCCTTCAAACTCAATGAACACGGCCTTCAAACTCAATGAACACGCCCTTCAAACTCAATGAACACGACCTTCAAACTCAATGAACACGGCCTTCTCACTCAATGAACACGGCCTTCAAACTCAATGAACACGGCCTTCAAACTCAATGAGCACGGCCTTCTAACTTAATGAACACGGCCTTCAAACTCAATGAACACGGACTTCTAACTCAATGAACACGCCCTTCAAACTCAATGAACACGGCCTTCTAACTCAATGAACACGACCGTCTAACTCAATGAACACGGCCTTCTAACTCAATGAACACAGCCTTCAAACTCAATGAACACGGCCTTCTAACTCGATGAACACGGCCTTCTAAGTCAATGAACACGGCTGTCTAACTCAATGAACACGACCTTCTATCTCAATGAACACGGCCTTCTAACTCAATGAACACGGCCTTCTAACTCAATGAACACGGCCTTCAAACTAAATGAACACGGCCTTCTAACTAAATGAACACGGCCTTCAATCTCAATGAACACGGCCTTCTAACTCAATGAACACGGCCTTCTAACTCAATGAACACGGCCTTCTAACTCAATGAACACGGCCGTCTAACTCAATGAACACGGCCTTCTAACTCAATGAACACGGCCTTCAAACTCAATGAACACGGCCTTCTTACTCAATGAACACGGCCTTCAAACTCAATGAACACGGCCTTCATACTCAATAAACACGACCTTCTGACTCAATGAACACGGCCTTCTAACTCAATGAATACGGCCTTCTTACTCAATTACCGACCCGGATGTATTTACACCGTATCTTTCATTTATCTTAGTCCCATGTGTGCTGCATTAAACATGCTCAGACGGGATTTGTTTTGTGAAAAGGAGCATAATTGCGGGGGAAAATAGATCAATGCCTTCAATAGTAACTTCCATTTGACATCATCATCATGAAAGGTTTATTAGGTTTGTGATAAAGATATGTTCATAAGCTGGACGTACATTTTAAAAGAACAAATTTTACCGAAACTTTTATTGACAGTGGTTAGATACTGCGACAGAATCCGAAATATACAAAGGTGAAATACCATACCGCAAATACTAACTGTGGTGCCACCATAGCACCCAATCTTGCCACGGCGTTGTTAATGCCATATCCTATGTTTCTGCAAAACAACATACAAATACAATGTATACCGGCAGATAAATATAGTAGGAGTCTCCATAAGTCTAAAAGACAAATGATTTAAAATGTACCGGTATGAATAAGTTACAAATGTGTGCGATGACCTGTAGTTGCTTATATCTACTTAATTTGGAGCTGTATAAACGGTATTCGTTTTTTCTCATTGTTGAAGGCGGTACATAGGCCTTTGTTTGCTTACATCAACGCTATCTGGTGGCAATCATACATGTACCTCATCTCCTTAGTTTTATACCACTTGACTGGTTGATATTTGTTTTACGTCCATTGACAATAATTGCATTTATATTAAGGATGAGAACAATTTAACAATTCATACAAATAGCTATAGATAGGTACTTGTATGTAGGTTCTGTAAAATGGTTTGACCGCAATGATGAGTTAATTTTTTTTACTTTCACTGAAAAAAGAGGGTATGCTAGATAGAGTTTGAACCAGACCACACACAAAACCCTACAATTTTGTTACAAAAGTGTTTTAGCGTGCTGAGAGCGTCAGACTGAACGTTCACATTCCGACCTGACGTGACTGCGTATTTGTACATCCCGCACACCTATTCTTTAGCATGGTTTTACTGACGAATGGGAGAAGTCCATGTGACCATATTTTCATACCCTAGTCAATTCTTGGGGGTAGAAATGATTAACAGGGGAGATAAATATTACCTTAATATTCCTGTAACTAACCTTACTACAGTTGGGTATAGTTCAGAGGTCAAAATCATGAGTGCAGACCATCCTGATGACACACAAAGTTTTGATGCTAATGCAAAGCCATTAACCAACTCGTCTTTATCTGATAGGTCTGAAATGAAACAAAAATAGTGTAACGTGGAGTCCTGTTTTCCGCATCTACAGTTGAATCAAGTATTACGCATCTATAATATAATCTACATATTTAAAGGACAGACAAAGATTTTGCCACTACACCTTTTTCCAAATTCAATATTACGGCAATGTCAATATTTGTTTGTTTGAAAGACATTCTTTGTCACTAAACCTCTTTTGGATAAAATTTGTAAAAATACACAAAAAAATGTGAGCATACAATTACTTATAATTTTCCAACGAATAAACACGAAGCTTTTCCAAATACCGGTTTCTCCAATTGGCGGCGTGGGAATAAGCTTACAGTTACTGCGAGTACTCTCAGTTCTGTACTTACTGTATTTTTGTTGTAGGGATGTATAAATACCCTGCCACGTCCGGTCTATGGTTTTGTTACTTGTTGTTCTGCTTTGTGTCGATCTGATGAGTTAAGCCCTTTTCAACTGATTTTTATAGGTGCTGTTACACGACTGTCCCAGGTTAGGAGGTTGGGCGCTTGCAATCATGTTTAACCTTGCTACATTCTGTATTTGCCTGTCCAAGTCAGGAGCCCGTAATTCAGTGGTTGTCGTTTGTTGCTGTATATCATAATTGTTTTTCGTTCATTGTTTTGTAGACAAAATCAGGCCGTTAGTTTTCTCGTTTGAATAGTTTTACATTTGTCATTTGGGGCCTTTTATAGCTGACTATGCAGTATGAGTTTTGCTCATTGTTGAAGGCCGTACAGTGACCTATAGTTGTTAACTTCTATGTCATTTAGTCTCTGATGGAGAGTTGTCTCATTTGCAATCATACCACATCTTATTGTTATATTTACAGTCGTTTCGGATTTGTTTCTGTTCAATTTTTAACAAGCTTTAAAGGTTATGTTAGACTGAAAATAACTTAAAATTATAATGTTTTCAACGTTACATTTGAATAGTAAAAGCTTCTTATATTCACAAATCTAACCTATGAACTGAATTATTCCAACAACAATGCCCATTGATCCACCAATCAGAAATAACATAAAAGTTGTCCATTTCCTGCCAAGGCTGAAAATTATAATATATCAAAGTTAAAACACAATAAACAAATTAATCTGCCACAATTCATTAATATTTCTATCATACGTGTGTGGTTTGCTATCTGTGTATGATTTCCATACTATTGAGTTAGTCTTTTTTTTCTTGATTGAAGTTGTTACGATTTATTTTACTATAATATTTTGTCACCATGCCATGCAATTCGCCCTTAAGGATTGTACCCTAAAAATTAAAATTATAAAGCTTTTAAAAATATTACCCGGAATTGAGTAAATTCTGAAACGGAGTGTCACCGGAACCAATGAAGCAGTTGGAACCCATACGACAATGGATACGCTTGTATTACTGAAACACGTGTGATGCGGAATATGCCTACCGTACTGGGACACATGTGATGCGTAATATGCCTACCGTATTGAAACTTATGTGATGCGGAATATGCCTACCGTACTAAAACACATGTGATTCGGAATATGCCTACCGTATTAAAACACATGTGATTCGGAATATTCCTACCGTACTAAAACACATGTGATGCGGAAGAGGAATTCCGTACTGAAACTCGTGTGATGCGGAATATGCCTACCGTACTGAAACGAGAGTGATGCGGAATATGCCTACCGTACTGAAACACGTGTGATGGGGAAGAGGAATTCCGTACTGAAACTCGTGTGATGCGGAATATGCCTACCGTACTGAAACACGTGTGATGCTGAATATCCCTATCGTTCTGAAACACGTCGGATGCGGAATATGCCTAGCGTACTGAAATGCGTGTGATAGGCCTACCGTACGTGAGCACGTGTAATGCGGAATATGCTATGTCGGTTTGTTTTGTTCACACATCGTTGTCAATATAATGGAATTTTATGCGACTGTCATACAAGTGAGACGTTTAGCTCGCTATAAAACCAGGTTTAATCCACCATTTTCTACATAAGAAAATGCCTGTACCAAGTCAGTAATATGACAGTTGTTATCCATTCGTTTGATATGTTTGAGCTTTTGAATTTGCCATTTACTTAGGGACTTTCCGTTTAGAATTTTCCTCGGAGTTCGGTATTTTTGTAATTTTACTTTTTATGTACTGAAAAACGTGTGATGCGAAATATGCCTAATGCACTTTCCTTTAATATAAATACCTTACTCACCAGTTTGCGAGATACCACACCACTATTCCTATAATATCCATAGCATTGATGAGAATCAAGTTAACATAGAGATTTCCCGAGAGTTGTTGTACTCCGAACGATATAGCATAATATCCATATCCACAACTTAGCCTGCAGCGACAGAAGTTCAGGACATTGTTATGATTACTTAATGTATATGTGCAACAGAGATAGATAATGTAATAATTGCCGGAAAAGCAGTCAAGCATTCCAGAAACTTATCAAATTATCTATAAATGGTACTTTCCAGAACTACCAACTAAATGAAAATTAAGGCCAAGTCAGTTTAACAGTCCTTAACTACAGTGTTCTTTTATTTGTTTTTGTAAGACAACTATATCTGAATCAGTCAACGCATATCAAATCGGGAGTGTGACCAATGCCGAATCCTAAAATGATCGCACAAATAAGTTTAACCCGCCACATGTTTATGTGCCAATCCCAAGTCAGAAAACCCCGTCAGTAGTTGTATCATGCCTATATCAATGTGTTTGGGTGTTTTCCTAGAATTGTTGTTGGTGGCAGGTCTTTGTTAGTGTCTGGTAATTTTATTCACAATATTTGAGACTTAAGGTTGTTCACTACTCTGTTTCAAAAAAACAAGCTGAGACTGTTATAAATTGAAATTATATGAATAACCAAACAAAAAAGCAGGATAGAATTATAGTTCCATGTTCTTGTTTTTGAGATATAAGCCATTGAAAATTTGGCGGGAAATGAATATCTCTACATGTAACATTGGTATAGTTTTTTCTTTCAAAAACAATGATTAAATAACAAGGATTTCATAAGATTTTGAAAAAAAATATCTTTATAAACTATATGCATTAAATTATGAAAAGAAGATTAGGGTAAGCAAGCAAATTTTTTAATATGTCACTACATGGATAAAACCTGAGGATTCCGAATATCTGACAAAAAGTTTAAAAAAAAAAGAGCAGCAAACATCGTTATGAAGGAGCCATAACATACAGGTAACACTTATAAATCACTGGAACGGGTACACGTGTTTCAATCAAATTCATGAAAAATATTAAAAGCTTGAAGAGTACACAGGAGTATGACGAAGAAAGTAAACGTATTTAACTTACCATCCAACTGATAATAGAACGTTATACCTCAGTAAACGTCTATTTTTTATGACATCTAAAATCGTATATTTTTTCTCGGTTGATTTCAACTTTATTGCTTGCGATGCCATCTCATAAAACGTTTTAAAATCTGGTGGAGGTTTACCGTTGATTTTAGCAATTTTTGCAATAACGCTGTGAGCTTTTGTAATCTTTCCGTTCGAAACTAGCCATCTGTAACTCTCAGGAACAAAACTTTGTGAAAAAAAAAATAAGAATTATATCGAATCGCTTGTGTTAATAATTGACGTTAAAATGTAAATATACGAATAAAATGTTTAAAAATTGTATACAAAGACCCTTTTAAGTAAACATATAAGTATCTGTTTATACTCTCAAACATCGTACTTCATTTGGACTTTTAAACTTTTTTCATTCGAGCGTCACTGATGAGTCTTTTGTAGAGGAAACGCGCGTCTGATGTACACAATTTTAATCCTTGAAACACAAAAGTTGTCTTTTATTCATCGGTATAGATAGAGTTTTCTTATACTTTGCCAAAAGGTAGATTTAATCAAGCTTTTTTTTACAAAAATAGGATAAACTGGAATCACATTCGTTGGAGAAAAATTACAAATAAATCCAACTTACAATATTGCTAAAATGAAAGGTATATTAGTTGCAGCGATAGCTAATTGTATATACTTCCACTCGTGCAACCACCAGCACAGACATGCGTAGATGATACAAAAAACTGGCCAAAACGGAAGTGCTACTAACATAGATCGGTATGTCCGAGGAGTAAATTCAATTAAAAACGTAAAATATACAGTTAAGTAAAAACCACATCCAATGCCAATAAAGAATCTGAAAACCGCAAACATTTCCCATGATGTAGAAAATGCTGCTGCTCCATTGAAGACCAACAAAATGAAAAGCGCCGCGAAGTACGTAAATTTTCTCCCTAGAACGTCTGCTAATTGTCCGGACACAAATCCACCGAATAAAAGCCCTCCCATTTGTATAGTTGTTATTGTGGATGATATCCAGTCTTTTTCGCAAACCAGATCCCACTGTAATATAAGCATGTAGATATGTTAAACATGTGTGAATTTTGGTTTTAAAGCACATTATATATACATTTAGGGATTAAGTCGGTGAAAACTTTTCCAAAGGATAGCATTTTGCGTTTTTTTTTTTTGTTATTATTAAACTCGTTACCTCGTGCATTGCATTTTTTTCTCACCCTTATATTTTTAATCAGGATATAATCGAATTGTGTATACAAAAATGAATAAAAGGAGATGTGGGGGTAATGATAAAGAAACATAAACCAAACAACACTATAGGCCTCCTATTCTTACATGTATATGTTCTAATCTTAAACGATAACCAGGAACTCGAAATTGACCACAGTCTTCAAGAGTAATGATTGAATTTAACAAGGCTATCAGCAATCTACCATCAACAAAAAATCTTTTTATAAATGACAAAATCTAAAGATACAAGTATAACACTAGTATTTTGTAATCAAAATCGTAATCAACATGTCTCTTTAGTTAATAGTTCAAAGCTTTTTATTATCATGAATCAACATTTTTTTTTGCATCCAATATTTAATTATATGACACTGGTTCTGTATGCGTCTCGAGAAATGCTTTCTCTTTAGGACCATGTCTTTTTTTATTGTGGTGCATGCAGTCTTCTTCCTATTTCGGTACTATTTTTTAATTGTGAGTTCTTTGTGTCTTCTGGATTGAATGCTACCGAAATTCTATTCATCTTGTTCTCTTTGGTTATCGTGTCTGGTACGTACATGTATCTGTGGAAATAACTTTTTAATCCCACAGCTGCTTATAAGTGATTATATTTTTTTATTCAGAACGGTCCAAGGTCAGATAGTTTCTGAATTGTTGTTTTAGCCGTTAAATAAAATAAAATATCCGAATGCTAATTTAAAAACCTTTAGTAACATTCAAGAAAGGTGGAAGATACATGTACCAAAGCGATATTTAAACTATAGGTCAATGACAAACTGTCAAATACATGGAAAAACGAAAAACGACGCAAAGACAAGAAACAGTATACAAAACAAATAAAGTAAAAATCAAAGACTGGGCATCAGGAACCCAACAAAAACCGGCGGTGAGCAAAGAACTCGCAAAACGAGAGTTTATCGACAATGTCATTACAACAAAAAACTGGAAAAATTACAATAAAACAACCATCCGATAACTAAATGATTAGAAAAGAACCTTGTTTAAAAGCTACGGTGAAAGTCAGTAATCTTTAAGATTGAGCAGTTCCTTGAAATTTCGAAAGCTTACCTCACTGACAACAGTAGCCATATCCGGATCATAGATCTGAGACTGGCAAATCACTGGTACTGATGTATTGTCTAGTTCACAGGTTTTCATAAATGTCTGATTTGTATAGTACTCTGTACCATTTTCCGTAATCCAGAAACAATGCCAGTCAGGTATTGCCCCGCCAAACGTCATCATTAAAGTACTCCATGATACTGATATTTTACTCCCTAAGACGATTGTGATTAAGATCCATTGAAAAAGTCCAAGTCCACCAATGTCATCTAATATATCCTCTAAATATTCATTCACATCTGACGTCATCTAAAACATATGTGTTGAAATGATTGAATTTATATTTCTTATAGTTTTGTTTAAAATTAAAGCTTAGTAATTTTATCTTTTTTTCATTTAACACTACAACTTCTTACTACGTCCTGTCAGAATGAGGACGTTGAACCCGATGTCTAGTGTAGTGCCTCGCTCTCTCTGCACGTCAAAGAACCCTTGCAACGACTCTCTGATGTGTCCGCTAGTTTTTGCCCTTGACCAACATACCCTCACAGAAAACCTTCTTGTGATATTAATATTATATTTGTTTATTTGTTCTCGTCCTTGGCATGCATGAAATATTTGCCACTTGGCATTACGCAAGGAACAATCAATCAATCTTACTGTCTATAGAATAAGTGTTTTAGATATCATAATATATGTTAATATTTATTGATTGACCATGCAGTTAAATTTAAGATAACTCAAAGGATCAATTACTTCCCTTTTTCCATTTATTTCCTAAATGTGTTGTATGAAAACCCGTCTTCTCTGAACTATAAGTTTGTGGACTTTAACGGCGTTGTGGACCTTAGCGGAAATTTGTTGTGGACTTTAGCGGTGTTGTGGACTTTAGAATTGTGGACAATTGTGCGACAAGTCACTACTACTGTTGTTTGTCTCTTGTTGTTTGTCTCTTGTTTTTTTTTTCTTTTTTTGCCATGGCGTTGTCATTTTATTTTCGACTTATGAGTTTGAATGTTCCTTTGGTATCTTTCGCCTTTCTTCTTCTATGAATCTTCATGTTATTGCGTTCCGATATCTTCTGTATACCTGGTGGTTTTATTTTAATTTATGTACAAGCACTTGCATTCCGGTGCTTTGCATTTGCGCTAATTTTCGTTTATTTCAAGAAATGGAGCTAATGCAATGTGCCCCATGCATTCATTTACATGTCCATTTTCTGATCACATGTATGTTGTAATTTTTATCAGTTATACAATAGGTAATTGTGTACTTACATTGAACTAGGTCACAGACAGTGATAAAGCATGCATTTGTAACATATGAAAAGCTCTTTTTACGAATAATATTTCTTATTGGTCCTCTTGAAGAATGTGCACTCCATGGAAATATATTTTATTAATTGTCCCGTTCAAGAGAGATTAGTCACGAGATAGTTATATTTTAATTTGCATAAATATTTATTTTTATTTATGTTTGTCATCCGTTATGTATTATCATAACTCCCGTTATCTATGATATCCCCATAATGTAAACTAAATAGGTAGATTGATATTTCAATGATCATAAGATTGATTGATAGAAGTTTTTTAGTCCAGTGGAAAATATTTCATGAACATCTATGTTCAGAACAAAAACAAATCAGCAATAAATGCATTTACCCCCCTGTATCACAAATTGAGAATGACGAAACATTCAGGATACAAAGAAAATACAAAATTTTTGATGCCACGTCCCGATCTTCAACACCCCTCCCTCGAAAAAGTATCGAAGATTCCTCCCGTAAGCGGTCTCCGAAGTATTATATGAATAATTTGTGGTTCTCAATTTACAGGTCTGTCAATTTTTCTGTTTACAGTTTCGCTATATCCTTTAGTAAATTCAAGGTTATATATATAAAACTAAACGTGAATAAAGAATAGAAACAAAGAATTTCTGAACAGTTTTTGGGGGATTTATTGAGTTCCGGAATTTCCGAGAATATACGCTTTTGTAAGATTTTCCCATTCCGCTACAGTTTTGATTTACCATTATAAGACTATTTCAATTTTTAATCATGGCAGCCATCTTGGATAAAAAAAAATGTAATATAAATCCACACACACATTCAATGTTTTCGTCATATCCAGTTTATTTAATTGGTTCAAAGCTGAAACAATGCAAACAAAAGGTCAAAATTTTCATTTAAGGGCATAAATTCGATAAACAGAAAAAAGTCAATTGACATATTTGGTCATGGAACTAAATTGTACATCGTGTTTTGCTGGTCATTTTTTGCTATTAACTGCTTCTGCCTTTCTAGATAAAAGGAAACAGGCTTTATAAGAATCTCTTTCATATCAATTACAGTTAAAAAAAATGATTTGCTCTATTCAAAAACAAGTGTAAAGCTGGCACTGCCGCATAATTATCCGACCGTACAACACATTAAAATTGAGAAAAACAAAAATAAGCTCCCTTTCCTGTGTTCCAATTAAGCAAGGAAAACTCAAGTTATTACCCGGAAACTATTTGTGTCAGACAAGCAGGTTGACAGTCGGACGACGAACGAACAGACGCACGAAGCAACAACTAGATGCTCCCGACATTTGTTTTGGGGAGCATACTAAGGAGATGTGCTATAACTGCCAATTAGACAACTATCAATAAAGACAAAGGACATAGATATGAATAATTACAGGTCTCCATATGCCTCAAACAATGAACAAAACCCCATCACGTATAGAAAGCTATAGGAGGTCTTGGGATAAAAACAAAACAATTCACATGTATATAACGTATAGTAAACTACTAGAGGTCTCGGGATTAAAAAAATGTGAAACAATTCACATAACGTATAGCAAGATATAGATCTCAGGATAACAAGATTTGAAACAATTCATATTACGCATAGTAAGCTATATGTCTCGGGATAACAAAATGTGGGGCAGTTCACATATCATATGTAGAGGAGGTCTCGGGATAACAAGATGTGAAACAATTCACATAA